TGGTACCATTTTTAAAACAAATCCATGATTACAAAAAGTTCTTTATCATAGATCTCGTAGTTGATCTCAATTGCTGAAAAGTTTTTGGAATGAAAAGCTACTAGGTGAAGTTTATCATTTGTTCCCATTAGTGTCAATATGGCATCCAAAGCAAAGTATGATGCATCTGTTTCCATAAAAAAAGGCTTAAAAAAATTGACATGATATAAGATTGATGCAAAAACAAAGGCTGTCTTTAAAGTTTCAAATGTTACTTCTACTTCTTGATTCCATTGAAGTTTGTCTTTACAAGTCAAATATGTAAGTGGAGCTACAACTTGAGAAAAGTCTTTGATGAAGATCTGATAGTAGTTGGCAAATCCCAAAAAGCATTAGACATCTCTTACAATTTTTGAGATCTTCCAATCTATAATATCTTGAATTTTTTTAGGATCCATCATAAGTCCATCATTTGAAATGATGAATCCTAAGAAGTCGACTTGAATAGTGTGAAATACACACTTTTTTATCTTGGCATAGAATCCCACATCTCTTAGTTTTTGTAAGACACAACGAACATGAAGTTCATGTTCTTCTATGTTCTTAGAATAGATTTAGATGTCGTCTAGATAACAAACAATAAAATCATCTAAAAACTCCTAAAAGATATGATTAATTAGATGTTGGAATGCTGCTAGTGCATTTGTAAGTCCAAAAGGCATGACGTTGTATTCAAAATGTCCATACCTTGTTCAAAATGCAGGCTTTCATTCATCTCCTTCTTTAATGCGTACAAGATTGTATGTTCCTCATAGATCTATTTTTATATAGATCTTAGCTTGATTCAACTCATCAAGGAGTCTAGATATTAAAGGTAGTGGGTACCTATTCTGGATGGTGATTTTGTTGAGTAATAAATTTTTTCAAAGATTTTGCTTTTAATATTATGAATGAAAAATCTCTGACATTATCTTTCAACCCATATTGAAATTAATTGATGAGGGCTTTATCATTCCAATCCACATTGCAAGTGAGATTTTAGAATTTAGCAACTTATATGGTAGCAAATTGTGATCCTTATTATAAAGATAAGAGTTTGGTCTCTGCTTCTCTTTCTCAATTACTTTCTCCAAATGTGGCCATAAATGCTTTTGAGAATGAATTCAAATCATGAAAAAGTTGTGAATTCTTTTCTATCAAAGAAGCAAATGAAGAAAGAAAACTTTTAGATAGAAGTACACCTATAAATCTAACTTGAGTAAATCCATTAAGATATTGAAAGAAATACAATCTTAGATAAAGCTTGACTTGTTGCAAAAATCCTCAAAATTTTGATCTTATTCCATCAAACTTCCTAGGCATATTAATCCTTGTCCCTATCATACTTGTAGAAGTAAAATTAATTGAATTTAGTTGTGAGGTTGATTTACTTTCTTCCTTCAATTGTACAACTTCTTGATATAGACTCTGAACTTCTTTCATAGGCATAGGATTAATATTTCTATAGTTAGAACTTGTGATGCATAAAATTTCTATCCTAAGAATATTGATAAGTTCTTGAAGATCAACAATAGTTACAAATCTATTTTCACTTCTACCAACTGCAGCATCTATGATGTTTCCTTCTCTTTTCAAGAACTTAACAAATCAAGAAGTCAAATTAGAAGAAGATAATCTATAATGTCTAATATATAATGAAAATTTCCATAAAGAAAAGTAATTTTTTCTCTTTAAAGAAGATATCCGTGTTAAAAAACTGAATAGTTTGTTTAAAGGTGGATAATTTGCAATCTTCAAATACAACAATAGAAGTGGAGTAATCTACTCACACCTAAAACAAGATAAGAATAATGAGTTAGCACTCTTGTCAAATTATTAAGGATATAAAGTTTGAATAAAAAAATCCTCAATACACTTATGTGTCACTCAAAAGAACTAGAAAGTTACTCAAAGATGGTATAGTATTAAATTAGAATGACTATTGCCAAAGATAAAAAGATTAGAAAGTCTTGAAACATGACTAAGGATTAGAAAGACATAGACAAGAATGAAGAAGTCTTTATTCTTGCCTCCATATATACTCTTAACTAGAAACTACATGGCAATGTCCTATAGGACCTCCAAAATACATATTGAGTCTGCAAGAAATGTATCTTAACTTACAAGGTAAGTTTTTTATATGTGCGTAGCATAGTTAGCTTGTTCTATAAGCTACCAACATCTAATTAATTTTTTGACTAAGTTTTTAACCTATTGATCAACTTTAAACACATGTAAAGTCAAAGCAATATCTATAAAGCTTTTAGAAAGCTTTTTTAGAAAATATTATGAAATAAATATATTTTTATCTAATTCTATTTAATCATATAGATAAATATTAGAATAAATATATATGTATAGAAACTTGGAAAAAATGAGGAATGAAGATAGAAGATGAAAAGGATTCAATGATGGTTGAGATAGAGTGTATCACTTTAATAAAAATTTGGATCACTTTATTACTCTCCTAATTTTATTAGACTTTATAATTTTTAATATATATTATTATAGTAGTTTATATAAGTATAAGAGTTGTTATTACAATCTTATTCTAATATTAAAAATACACAACTTAAAGATAATTCAACTTAAAAAAGATTATGTTTACTCTTAAAAAATGATTATTTTTAAATAAACATGGTAGTATCTCACAAATATTCACTTTTGTATGTGTCAACAATACAACTCCTACATACATGTGTATGTGTGTGAGTGTGTGTTTTTTTTTAAACTATATCTTACATTTCTAAGTTACATTGTTTTGTTTGTTTGTTATTGGTAGAAAAGTAACCTAATAATCTCTTTAAAATTATGTTTGCAATACAAATGCAAACTATCAATATAAATTTTGTCAACTATTTTTGAAATTTGGTTTATTTTCTTTTGTCTCTCCAACACATAGTTTCTCCATCAGCTCTTTTATCTTTTAGTTAGCTAAATTAGCTACGTTACAATATTTAAGGGATATGTAATCAATCCTTGGATTTAAAGTTAATATTTTTTCACATTTTCTCAATGATATGCTTTCAAAATAAACTCAAATGAATAAATATAAATATATACATTTATATATAGATATATTTATTAGAATAAAAAACATGACAATGTAGGTTTTAATGGTATATATTATCAAATTAATTTAAAACTAAAAAAAATGGTTGTCTTACTATTAAATAATTCTGTGTTTTTTAATTTGCTTTAACAAATAAAATCATATTATCAAAGAAAATTAAAACATACATCAAATGATGGTTATTTAATTCATAAAATTATAATTGTGTGTGTCTATATATATATATATATATATATAAACTCATTTTTTCTCTTAAAATAGTTAACCTGATGGTAATAATGGAAAATATATTAATTTATTTGTTTCTGAAAATTTTGCAAGACAGATATATAAGAATGTGTTTTATAACCTATGGATTTTTGTTTTATAGTAATCTATTGATATACATGTATGTATGTAATCACTAAGATCTAATAACTGATTACACATTTGGTTTTTATTGAAAATTTTATAAAAATTTTGAAATATGATTTTAATTTTTTAATTTTTAATTAAACTTATACCTTAATTTGAATTAATTTTTTCAATAGTAAATTAGATGATTATATATTAGTTGGTAAAAATGATTTTTCTTTCAATATCTAGACAATTTTAAATTATATAATTACACAATTAATGCTTTCAATATTAAACTAAATAATTACACAATTATATATTAATATTTTCAAAAATAAATCATATAATTAAAGAAACTCTCATTGAATTCAAGTTGTATTTTGTGTTGATAAATTCAAATATTTTTATTATATATATATATATATATATATATATACATACATATTTAATTTTGGATTTCTTTTATGGATGTTAATAACTTATTCCAAAAAATAATAATTGTACAACCAAATTAATCTCATAGAGTAATAATGACAAATTATTTATAGCCTTTATTTTACCAGAAACTAATAGAAATCCGCATCATTAGGCACAAAAAAGTTGTAAAAGCTACTAGGAGCAATCTCATCCAAACTATGAGGGACCAAAAAGTTACATATTCCTTGAGTGTCTATGCCTTTGTATTCTCCACTTTCGAGTACTCATGTGTTCTAGCATTCTCTGTGTTCCCTTCTTCATGCCCAATGAAAAAGCTTCTTTGTCTCATTGTCTTATACCAAAGGTGTTTTGTATAGTAGATAGTTATTGTGTATTGCGGTAAAATGAATAGAATATAATTAATTGAATAAATATCTCAAAATTGATAAAAAATTTCATAATGCGAAAAAATTTGAGAAACACTAAAATGTAAAAGTAATTGAATATGTATATATACACATATACACTCCCAAATAAATAATAATGGAACTTTTGAATGTTTTATAATTTTAATTTATTATTCTTGAAAACTAAAATATTTTATGTCTTTTCTTGTGTTTTAATTCAGAATCATTCATTCTTTGACCTCAAATAATTCTTCCTTGAGCACTGTCGGAGATGAGTTGGAAAAATAACCTTAGATGACAATATTTACTAAAACGATAAAATCTCAAGAAACTAACACGTTTTGTATATCAAGTTAATAGTAGTATTTAAAAAGGTACAATATCTTTGAAAAGGTGTTTTGTTAATTAGTGAGCTCTAATTATTGGACACACTCCTTCTAAGCTGATGTGAACTAAATTCATAATTTTCTTCATCTACATGAACATCCTCATTCATCCCACATTCATCTCATATTCATTCAAATGTGACGAAAATATCCCATCACCATTTGCAAAAGGATGAATACGAGCAAACAGACGAACGATATTCATCCACATCCATCGACGCGGTAAAGAAAGAAGGACGCCAGCGGATTCAGAGGATTCCTCCAGATATGGATGGATGAAATGGGAACGAATGAATTCGGCGCGCGTCGGGGCAGGAAGCCGAGCAGTTTGAAAGCGCCGAAACCACTACTCCATCCTTTTCTTTTTTTGAAGAGGATGATGATGGTGCATGTGTGCGTCGCCACTCTCACAGCTTCATGCCGATCTCATGTTCCTCATGTGCATTGTCACACATAATCTTGTGGCGAATTTCTATGCTCGCACGCTCTGTTATTTAGGAATTTTTTTTAAGATCTTATTCACGCAGAATCCGAGACAAAATTTATTACTCGTCCTGTATTCAGAGGGTGTCCTTCTCGACAGATCTCTTGAAAACCATAACACTATTTGAGTCAAGCTTTGTCGCAGCATGTGGGTTTTCCGCGGGGGATGCTTGTAAACAGTGAGATACGAACACATGCAATTATCTGAATTGTATGGCAAATTTTATAATGATCTTCACCTTATCCGCTCCAGTCTAGGGCCAAGGTGTGGGAGGTCAGTGTTTGTGTTTGTGTGTGGGAGATTAAGGGATTGAATAGTTGGAAGGATAGACGGATTTGTTGTTGAACGTGGAATTTGAATTGCGAATTGCTACAAGTGGCTGTCACTGCTTGATTTTTTTATTTTTTTTATTTTTTTTATTTTTGGGTTTTGATTCTTGATTTTGGGGATCGATGGAAGCTGGCATGGTAGGACGAGCGATGGAGTTTTGAGTGAAGTTCGGAGGCAATGGAGAAGTGAAGACTGTGATACGATATTAACGCGTAACGTGAGGCGTGGGTGAAGTGGGGTAGATTAAAGTTTTGAGGAGTCCGAGGAACTGTGCTCAGCGCGGGACTGGAAGAACATTGATGATAAGTTAAAAGAAATTAGAGTTACTCTCGCATTGATAGTTTATTAGACATGGATATTTTGGGAGAGGGGAACTGCGACCTTCTCAACTTCGACCAAGAGGATGATAACTTGCTGGGAATAAGTCCTACAGAGCTCTGTTTAGGTGTGTCTCCATCATCGCCGTCAATGTTGCCGTGCATTATGACGCTAGGATCAATGGAAGACCTGGAGAATCATTTTGGTGAGTTTACTGATAATTGAGATTGGTACTTGCCTGTGTTGTAATAATTAGGTCGTCATTTTCATAACAATAAAGATAGGTGGCATTCAATGGAAACTTGCGCGAAGCGCATTACTCTTCATGATTGATCATGATGTCCTCTGTAATCCACCAAACGATCTAGTATTTGGTGGAGATTACTGTCCCAGCTGCCTGATACTTCCCATCTTTCCTCCATGAATAGTACCATGTTTCCATTATTTTTGAGTCTTACGGAGGCCCTCAACTTGCCTCAAATGCAGGCGAAGAGAAAAATATGCGTGCGTCAGATTCCAGTGCGACATTGGCGTCACTACCTTCCAGGTCACATGTGATTCCAAGTTCTGTATTGTCTGTGCTGAATTTCAATGAGATGAACCAGCGCAGAATCGAGGAACTGTGGTCCAAGAAGGGAATTGGAATTAAAGGTGCGTTGTAGACGACCTGGACATAGGCCAGTTTTGCAGGGCTTAAGAACTGGAAGAGGAGGCACCTTGTGGACGACAGAATCCAGACCATAAGTTTAAACTGTAGTGTATTAGCAATTCTACTCAAACAAATCCAATCCTACTCTTCACGATTTTTAGTCAGTCGTAAAGACAATGGCATAGATCGTAGCGAACTCCAATACCAAGTCACTGTTTTCTGTCGTCTAGATTGAACACCTCAGCCGGCTTGCATTCCTGAAACTACATCTATAACAGCCATTTTACTCTGTAACTAACTTCTTCCCTACAGACCTGCAATTCTGTACCCTTCGCTTTGAAGAATTTCAGCTACAGCGTGAGATGCACAGTCATACTCAGGAAGCTGAATTAGGAATCTTCTGCAGAGTCAATGCAAATCGATGGTATTTGCGAGACTTCACCTGTGAAAAATTCTGGAAACCTCACAAGTCAACATGGCAGGAGTTACCTCGACATTGAAAATGAGCAGGATGGAGGAACCTCTGAGAAGGGAGAAGGCGAACCTACTCTTCTCCGTAAAACTAGGAGGAGGCTATCAACAACACTACGAAAATCTCTAGCCTGGGATAAAGCATTTTCTACAGATGAAGGTAACCTTCGTCTAGTCTCGCCACTAGCCGCTTACTCTTCTCTTGATCACGGTCTGAAAGCAGCTTCTGGGTCTTTTATAATGTTCGAAATCATTCCACTGTTCCACGCTGATCTTCCTTGGAAATAATGTCGGATTTTGTCTCTAACTCATGCAGGTGTGCTGGATAATGATGAATTATTTGCGGGGTTAGCAACCATTTCGGATGGGCCACAAAATGTGATTGCATCATTTGAAGAGAGGAGTACGCCTACCAAATCACAAATTAGACCAGAAGTAAGTTCCGAAGCGAAAACCGAAGTGAGGCTTGAATTGCGACCAGAAGCGGAATTGGAAGTGAGGCCGCAAAATTTGAGAACCGTACTGAGACCAAAATCCAGACCTGCATCGAAATCAAAGCCCCAGCAAGGTCAGTTTTAAGTCTTACACTCGTTTTCAAATATCCCTTTTTTTCAAGGGACTGACATTAGGCTGCACGTCGTTCTTGTAGACCTTTTGCACTCGACTTCCCTTCGGCCAGTGCGTCAAATTCAAACAGGATCACAGGCATTTTCAAGTGCATCTTCCAGAGTGGCAGCAACGTCTCAGTGGTTCCCCTCAATACCATTATCAACTAACTTCTCAAAATTAGGAAAACAACTCGGAGGCGCTTGTAGTCCCACTATTGAGCATACCCACGGGACGAATCCCTGTGTAAGTCTTCCCTATTTATGTGCAGAGCATGTTTTTAAGTTCAGATGATCTAGATTAACCCGCCTTTTTATTTTTTATTTTTTTCTCTTTTAATTCTCTTAAACAATCTGATCAGCAGATGAAGGAGCCACCCAACACATGCATAGCTCATGAAGCAAGACCTGTTGCGTTGAAAATAGCCCACGAAGCACCATCGCAAATGGAACCCTGGGCCCGGCTACCAACAACCAGGAAGGTGCAGGATAAGCCTTTGGAGGAGATTCACAAGGTGAAGCAAATAAAGAAGGTAGAGCTTAACCCTTCGATGGAGATGCAGAAGATGAAGCAACCTAAGGAGGCACATGCAACTAAGCAAGTCAAGAAATTAGAGGTCAAGCCTGTAGAGGAAACACAAAAACTTAGGCAACCTTTCCTGAACAGGAGTATGTCTACGCCCAATTTACCCGACTCCCCTTCCACACCATGTCGCAAGGTCTCATCTATGCCCAAGAAGATGACGGAGACACGGGAGAAAGTGATGGCAGGTGCAGTATCTGCCTCACTGATTGATTTTCTGTTTCTGAATTTGAACAGTTTCTTCATTCAAGTTGGTGCGAGATTTTGAAAATTCCATACCAATTCGTGTCGACAATCTTTAGTGAATGTGACAGAGCATGCGCCAACTGTTTTCAAAGAACCTTCCTTGTCCCATATTCACCCTGTGGACAACACGTTAATTCTATCTACCGTGCCGGAAGTTAAAGCTTCAAATCGGATGAGATCAAATGCAGCAGCTACGAAAGGATCTTCTACGCAAGCCTCTTCTCTAGTGAGAAGCAAGAGTGCATGTGCAATTCCTGGGCAGCCAAAAGCTACCTCCTTGGGCCATGCGAGGGGGTTTACACCTTCTGCACCTCCACCGAAAGTTCATCCTTTGGAGCCGGTTGGAAGACCGACTAGTTTACGCAGACCTCCCAAGCTCGGCTTCTTTGATGTGGTGTGTTTCTTCTTCCTCTTATACTATTGCCGTCGTGACAGAGTCGATGTGAACAGTCATGCCTGGTGCATTAAACTTTCTTTTGATAGGCCCAACAAGGATCATCGATCATTTTACGTATACTGACTTGATGTAAATTCATATCCACCTCGATTCTACAGAAATAATTCTTAGAATTAGGAATGTGCCCAACTTGACTGCCGTCTTGCTGGGGGTACTGCGAAAGAAGCACAGTTTATGCATCCATTTCAAAGGTTCAGCTCCATCATGCAGGGTAGGGCTTCATCTGCTAAACAGAAAGCTGCAGTGGCTTCTCAACCTTTCCAAGGCATCCAACATGTAAGGTCAGGAAGTGAGGCATCTACACCAATTCCATTGACATTAAACCGATTGCATGAACTGGCGGCTGTGACAGTCTTGTCTCCTATTCCCAGTGCTCCTCTTTTGAGAAACGGTGTGGCTTCTGTGCCCTCTTCTCCGAAAAGAATTCATGTCATACATCCCAGCCCTTCGAAGTGTTCTTCCACCACAATCACTAGAGCCTCCTCTCCAATTATTGAAAGAGTTGCTCTTCCAGTATACTATTCAGGTATTGGACATGCCACGCAATTTCCAGAAACTCACCACCTTCTAGCAAAGAAGATGGTGATTGAGAATGGAAATGGTGGCGTTTGTACAGCTCCTCATTTGTCCGGAATGGACTCCTTCAAGCTTCCAGAGGTAATGCTTGGTCCTACAGAGCTTGATAAGGAACCAGCCGGACTTTCTCATGTGAGATTCGCAACAACCCGGACCAAGCGCGATTCAGTCGTCCCTCTAGCTCTGGGTATCGAGGATCTTACCCGAAGTGGCTCAAGATTGGAAACGGGCGAAAATGAAACTGACGACAACAATATGCATGCGGGGCTACAGACTTCCGACTGTTCTGAAGTCTACTCTTCTTTACCTCTATTGGGGTCAAACAGCCATGTTTTTGAAATCTCCGCATCCAAAAACTCCGAGCGCAGTAGCTCCATAGAGACTTCCGAAGTATTATCCCAAACTTGTGATGAACTAAAGACCGAAGGCAGTTTTCTGAAATCAAGTCTTCAATATTGCGGCAATTTGATTAACAAACCTTTATGTCTTGCAAGCTCTGATCATCAAAATAATCAAGATTTTGCTTATCATCCTGGAAAGGTTTTCGCCATGAATTCCAAAACTACTCTGGAGACATCGTTGCCCAACGTTCAGTTGACTGTTGTTCAGGGACTAACTACAGCTGTAACCTCCTTTGAGCAGACCAGCAAGGCAACCAGGGACAGCGATTTACCACATGCAGCTTGTCCTACGACACCGGCTAACAGGGACTCCTCACGGAACATCAGCGCACAGCTACCGGGGCAATTTGAATGTTTACAAAGCACGAGTTTCAGGGAAACCTCTGTTAATGCGAATGCATCTGGAGATTCACTTGTGGCTTCTAGCAAGTTCGTTCGCAGGTGTAGCCAGCGGCAGCCATGGCAGTGCCCTGGCGGTAAATTCGGCAGCGATGCATCACCAAACTTTTGTCCACCTACCTTTGCTTCTGGGAAGCATCTTAGATCAGCTTCTCCTACCTATGCTCCAGACGTTGGTGGCACTTTTGAAATTTTAACACTGAAGGGTCCCAAAAATGTCCGTTGTGGTCGCACTTCAGGCAGCTCATTAAAGGTGGTCAGAACGATTCTTGAGTTCGGAAGCCCAACTTCACAGTGGTGCGACTGGCCGGTTCTTGGAGGCGTTTTCTCTGAATACCAGATATCAGGATCCAGTGAGGAGAAACCAGCCGATTATCAACGCGTATTAACTAAGCAGCATTCAACGGATGTGCTATTGAACTGTCCAATGAGTGATCTAAGTACTTCAGCGAACATCATGTTTGCTGAGATGGATGCTGGATTTATCGATGATTCAATTGGACTTAATCGGAGAGAAGTATGCGGTTTAGCCAAGAAAGAAAAAGGTTCATCCATGTTCTCCTTCGCAAGAAAAGCTTTTTCGCGGTTGACATCATCTCCAACTCTTACAGAACCATCGACACAGAATGATAGAGAAACAGCTAGACCGCACCAAACCAGTCCTCGATTCAGTAGATCTGGACGTAACCACATATGTCCTGCAATTGAGCCCATCACGGTCTCACCTTTCTCAGAATCTAGAATCTGTGAGCTGGAGGCAGCTGGATCGGTAAGTTTCTCACGTTGTTTCTTTGAGTGTTTAGGTCATACCCTGAGTGATGGTACCTCTCCTATGCGTTATAAATGCTCTTGCAAATCATATCCATGCTTGTAGGGACTTTTGGAGAAGAAAACTGAAACAGTACAGGGTTCTATACCAGATAAAGTTGTACCAAACACCAATCCTTGGTCTCCTGCACGTGAATTCATTCCCAAATGCAGAATCTTTCTCAGGAGTTCTTCACATCAGGAGTGATGACTGACTGCCAACGCAACGGACTTTCCCATATATCAATGGCATATTCTCACGTTTTCAATGATCATGGTGATGTCGTCTGTGCAGTTTAAGAAGAATGAGAAACCGCCGGATCCGTTTGACCGAACCAAGCCCAAGTACATGAGCACTAGCCTTGTATCCTCATAATTCGTCTGGTTGTCTTACCTGTAAAGTTTTAGTAACGTTAAGAATGCCACCAGCTAGTTGATGACCATAACATTTAATCTTTCACGCGCCGCCCATTTTACGTATTTTGCACTGGTTAATGACCTCAGGATCCAACTCACATGCATCGTGAGGGGTTTACCTAGAATCATGCTTTCCATCGGTAAGGCACTTTGTTTCCTGCATTCACAGCTTTGCGTGTATCGTACAGAACCGTTTGCACATTGGAGGTTCCTACCTACACATGTTTTGTATACTAAGGCTGACAAAGGTACTGAGCTCTCCAATCCCTCGTCAGATTTTCTTGTGTCTGGGTTTCCGAACATAAATTTTCTTTCGTGCAGCCAACACACAAGATCAGTGCATCGTGATGTTCTGTGTACGCCCTTGCAATTGGAGATAAGTCGAAATCCTTTGTTGCAGCATGCATGGTTTTCTTCCTGCCAGTGGCTGGGAACCAGAGCAAGGAGGCCTAGTAAAATCAAACTTCGGAACGTTGGTCGAGCAAAGGAATTCTGCTCCTCATTCTCCTGCTAATCCAATTCTATTCTTTTGGTGTGTTGAGCTGTAAAGCAGATTGTGCTTAGAGAACTTTTAATTATTATTTCCACTTCACCTTCGTCTGGGTCGAATTCCTAACAAACATTTTTATCCTTTGCTTTTTGATAATGTAATCCGTTGGCTGTGATCGATACCTCCACCTCTCAAATTTTGGGTACACAGTAGCCCTTGAGAGGGTGAAAATATGTGGCCTTTTTGATATGAAGAGACAAAAAATAAAATATTTGCATGTAGAATTTTTGTAGACATTTTTTAAATTGATCACCTAGGAGCAATTTGGGCATGCTTCATGTTCTTTGATTACACCACAAGGATGCTAGCAGTCAGATAGAAACAATGTAGCATTGTGCGACAAGGTACAAAATGGACATTAATTCATGTTGCAAGTACAAATGCATCAGAACAAGGGAGATATGGAATTTTGTGGAATTTTTGTTATATATTCAACAAGTTTTAGCTTGTGGTACGAAGTGTATTGTACTATTCATCACTCCTCTGTAAGTGGGACTTAATTCTTTACTAAAATACGGCCTAATATATCTCTAAAAGTAAGAAACTTATCTCTAAGAAGAGATTTTGTGAAGATATTTTCTACCATCTATTCTATGAAAGAATATTTCAATTTAATTTGTCATTTTTCTACATATTGTCTCATAAAATGATTTTATGTATTCTAGTGCTTTGTATAACCATGGTGTGTTGGATTATTTGATAATAGCAATAGCATTTTGGTTATCTTTATAAATAAAGATCTTCTCTAATTTGAGAATGTCATAATTTCTTAATATTTTATAGAGCAACAAAGTTTTCCTTCCTGTAATGGCCAAAGGTACATATTCTACCTCTATTAATAAAGCAAAAACTAATGATTGCTTCTTGCTTGACCAAGTGATAATTGCACCACCTAATATAAATATATAATTGTCCATTGAATAATATATCTTCACACAACTTGCTCCATCAACATTATTATAGCCCATAAGTTGCAAACTTACTTCTTTGCCTTCATATTATAATATCAAATTTTTTGTTCCTTGCAAGTAATAAAATATTTATTTAATCCTTCAATATACATCATATATGAATAAAGGTTTAATTTTGAGTGCTTCCAACTAAATTTCAATAAAGAGCCATCTATACTCTTATTCCATTGGCATCTAAATGACTTACAAAGCTATACAAAGTCTTTAGCAATTGCAACATCTTACCATTGTGTTCAAGTAGAATTTATAATCTTTCTAAGATGTCTTTTTTGTAAAGTTTAATATTCAAATAAATTAAAATGAAGTCAAGTTGCAACATATTTCAATCAAAGATACTAGCAATTACAACAAATATGCAAATTGTTGCAAGACATATTACATGGATTATCAATTGCAACAAATATGCAAATTATTGCAAGACATATTTTATGGATTATCAATTGCAACAAATATACAAAGAATCAAGTTCTTTTGTCATAGCATGGCTCCACTCTTTGCAAAGAGGTGAACTCATTGCTTATTCAAATTTTTTTTATTTTGTATATTTATTAACATAAATAATATCTATTGTTTCAATTGTCATGTCAAAATCTCTTCAAAATTATTGTCATTTTTTCAAGGCATGTAACATATCTTCTTGTCACCACAATATTCACTAACTTAATTCTACCTATGTAATGACATCTTCATAGTAGAACTTCAATGGTTGCTTCTACTTTTAGTTGATAGAACTCCATTACTTCTATTAATATAGGCTTTGCCTCCTTGTCAACTATTTCTCCACCAAATTCATCATGTATAGGTAATTTTAAGGCTTGAGATTTGGATATTTTTTATTCACGTAGACATTGAAGATCAAGCAAACCAAGCTTATTTTCATAATTTCCATCTTCTCCATTCATCTCTTAAAAAATCAATGACTCACCAAATAATTCATCCTTGTCATAAAATAAAAAAATCACATCTCAATTAAGAATTATTTCATATCTTTTTGCTACATCTGAATGTCTAACAAAAATATCTTTTTTTTCATTTGAATCAAACTTTTGATGCTTTTTTTTTTATTATGTAATAAACATTAAGCTAATCAAAATAATAAATATATTAAATAAAAAGATTTTTACTATAGAAAATTTTATGTTGTGTCTTACTACTAAGTCTTGTAAGTAGAAGACAATTACAAATCCATATCACAAACTTAGTAGCAAATGCATAATATTGATAATCTAACTTGATATTATTTAAGAGTATTTGTACTCCTTAAAAGATAGTATGTATTATATCACATATTATAGGAATCCAATGTACATCCTTCATAAATACAAGAATATGTTTTTTTTAAAGTCTAAAATTATAAAATATATCTCACTTTAATCTTATGATTTGTTGATGCCACCATCATAGCCTTAGAGTTGGATGGTCATATTTTTATTGAAGTTAAAAGCTTACTCTTGTCTCTTTAAATATGTAAATTTTTAATACTATTAATATAAATATAATGATGTAATTAAGACAACAATGCAATCTTTACTTATAATTTATATGATACCTCTTAAGTTGAAAAAACAAAAACAACATCAATACTTATCATGCCATTGCTATTCATTCTAAGACACTTTGCATTACCTTGTAAATGTTCTTTTTGTCAATAATTCCTAAAAGTACTTTTGAACTTCTCAATCATGATTTTTTTTTTTTTTTTTTTTTTTTTTTTTTTGTTACGGATGTTGCTTCATTAAATCTTGCTTCCTTCCTACAAGTATTGCTAAGGCAAAAACTAGAGAATTAATTTTTTTATTATCTTTGTATCTCCTTTTCTAAGAATATAAATTATATTACTTTCTTTGTAATTTCTTCTTGTTTCTTCAATAATATTGATTGAACAAGTGGATTCTATAATTTTAGTAATATAATAAGTATAAGAAATATAACACTTTATTTATCCATATTACCACCATATTTAATATATTGATTTTTAAAATAAAAAAAATCTCTAAAAAAACTCTTTATAGATTCTCCATCAACGTACTAAAGATTGTAAAGTTTCTTCATTAAAAAGATCTTTTCAAGGACTTATTAATCTCAGCTAAAATATCCCATATCTTCTTTGTTATCTTACATTTGCATATATGAATCAATTACAAAGGCTTAACATTGAAAGCAATCAATACTTGTACTTCTGCTTGTCAGAGACATACATATTTATTTAGATAAGAAGTATAATTTTTAATCTATATAAAAAATAAATATAGATAAATTTGATAACATCTTATGTCATAGCTTCTTAAAAGCTTTATAGATGTAATTTTAATTTTAAACATGTTAATAGTTGATTAGTAGGTTTGAAACTTGGCCAACAAATTAGCCACATTGTCATATTATAACACAACTATATGGTGAAAATATTAAAAAAATTTATTTTTAATTTATTATAATATAATTATATAGTGAAAATATAAATAAATTTTATTTTTAATTAATATTCAATCTTGTTAGTTCAATAAGAATTCAAAGAAATTAAGAAAGGCTTTATGAAATTCTCTTATATTATTTATTTATTTTAATAGCTAATAAATAAAAATTAATTATCAAATTTTCTTCTTAAGTTATAGAATTTTTTATTATCTTAAAATAGCTATAAATTGATAAAAATAAGATAGATGAGATAAATAATTCATATGGTTGAAATTACGTTATAGATAATCATAGGGTCGTGCTTAAAAATCTCTAGGATAGGTTGGATTGATACCCAAAAATGACCAATTGCCAACTAGGATCAAAATCAAATCTTAAAGTACAAAGCTATGCACTAACAGAGGTTCAAGGATTTTTTTGCAAATCAAAGAGTGGAATTCGGGAGAAGACTTTATAGTGTTTCTTAAAACATCAATTATAAGGAATTTGAGTTTTTAAAAACTTTGTACAAGCTTTACAAAGCTAAGATTTTTTTAACTTATTCTAGATTTTATAAAATAAAATAGGATTTTTAATTTAAATAATTTTGTAAGTTTTGTAGCAAATCTATAAGTTAAATTTTTTGAAGTTGTGAGTATATTTGCAATAAATATATGTTATAAATTTGAGCTTAATTAGATAGTTGGATTGGAGGTTATTAAAATTCAAGTGGATAAAAGTCTCAAAAATTGGATTTTTATGCCTAGTAAGGTTATCTAAGATTCTTAATAATTTTCTAATTGGATTGAAATGATTTTTATTAGAACTAATAGTTAACTTAATTTTTAATACTTTTGCAAAATTTGAAAATAAGTTAATAATTTAATTAGGAATTATTACTATTGGAAGATCAACATTAAGGTCAAAGATGGAAACAAGCTAATATCTAAGTGGATTATGATGTTTTTCTCCCATTTTGTAAGTTCAATTCTCTTAAAATTTATTGTGCTTATTTTTAACTAAGAGATTTAGAAATGTGTAAAATTTGAAGTAAAATCAATAATTTAGTCAATAGATATTGAGATTCTAAAACAACCCTAGGGTTGATTTGAATTGATTAGGTTTTAGTTAGGATTTGGTTTACGCTTTAAGATTTAATTAGGATATGATTTAGATTTTAGAATTTGATTAGGATTGATTTTAGGATTTATGGTCTACTTAGGATTGGTTTAAAATTTAGGATTTTTTAAATATTTCTTTAAGATTCTTGTGGATTTTTTAAAGATTTCTTTGGAATTTATTTAATATTTCTTTAGAATTTTTTAAAGATTCTTATAGATTTTTTAAAATTTTATTTAGGATTTTTTTAAATATTTATTTATTTATCTTTTATTTTCTTTTAGATTTCTTTAGGTTTCTTTAGGATTTCTTTATTATTTTTTTTATGATTTTTTTAGAAATTTTTAAGGATTTTTTTGTATTTTTTTGATAATTTATTTAAAAGTTTAATTAGATTTGATCAATGTTTGATTTTTTTTTTAAGCTTTAATTACAACTTATATGTGATTTTATTAGAGTTGTTAGAACTTGCTGTTGCAAATTTCTTTTATCTTCTATAGCCAAGTGTCTAATGCATTCTCAAACAAGTCTTCACATAATATAATATATTTGGTGAATCTGATATAAAAACTTGAGGTGACAAGTATTAGAGTTTTTATATTTTTATTTTTATATAATGGAAAACAAGAATAAGAGTTTTGAAGGAGCTATAGGACAAACTTCAAGTGGAGCTTCTAGTAGAGTTTCTATTAAAGGATAAGGTATGTACATGGATCTAACTATTGCAAGTATCTTTCATGCTTTTACATTGTCTATACAACAATAGTAAAGCAATGTTTACAAGGAGTCTTTGGCAACCAAAGTATTGCAAGCAATGGTTAACAAAGTTGACCAATTTAATGGAAGAGACATTTCAAAATATTTAAGATGTTATATGTAAGAAATGGAATTAAATTGGATTTTTGAGAAGAAGATGATTGAACTATATGGACTTGCTATAATACTAGAGATAAATAAATATATTATATTA